TTAGCACGTCCAACTAGGAAGAAAAATATTGATTAGAACCAAACAAAACGATGGCTGAAATCCAACGAGTTTTGTTAGCGCTGTCCGTTCATACTCTAAACTTTACCGCATGGCTATGGAGCTTCAAAAAACTTGGGCCGCGGTGTTGAGCTTCTCGGCGAGAGCGAGTTGTGTTCTTGTCAAGTTTGCAAGATAAACAACCAGTAGCAAGTCCTTGAAAGGAGAAAGGCAAGTGTCAGCGAATGCGAAGCGATTAAACTCTGGGAGAATCAAGTACCTGCATGCTATCGTTGAAGAGCTTGCTGAAGGTGTCTGGAGAGATCTTGGGCACCATGGAGAGAGTATCCGCCAGGTAGCGACCGACTGTGTTATCTGGTGGGATACGGCCCTCCTGAAAAGTTAATTTATCTCAGAGATTTCTTCCATTCCAAAGCTCAAAGTTATGCTTACCACGACATCATCCACATACTTGAAGACCGTGTCGATCATGTTTTGCAGCCTTTGCATCGAGGACTCCAATCCTTGGAGATCGTTTGGGAGCTTGTCAACGAGAGTTTTCTTCAGGATATCAACTATACCAAGCTTTGAAGTGTCAGAAAAAGGAAAACAAGACACGGAGAAGAAACTTACAGCCAACTCTCTCGGCCTCCAAGAGTCGAAGATCGAGCTGGACCTCATGGAACTGTGCCGCAAGCGGACGCTCGCCGAGAGTTAACACCGTGGAAACATAAGCTTTGATGTTTGCGGCATCATCGCTGAAAGTTGTGTCGACAGTGAGGTGAATGGGATTGGAGGTCTCTCTGGCGTAGAAATCCTGGATCAAGGCATCGCTTCCAGTTACCCCAGGGCTTGTTGAGTACCTTGAGAGAATCCATTTCTTACTTAAATCACAGAGAGAGTTTGAGCAACTTACCATCCGATGATAACTTCTTTGGGATTCACTCGCTGATGAAGCTCAAACATCGACCTATGATAATCGATGTCCACAGCCACCTGCATTGGAAACCCGATTTACACGAAATCCCACTTCCAGGATCAAATACCGACCTGATCAGACGACTCGTTGTGCGGAACGGCATAAGAATTGCGAATATCGATCGTTCCATCGCTGGAAATCGACCCCAGCAGCGTCCCAATCACCCGATCTTGCTGATCGTTGCGGCGAATGTAGGAATCGCAGATGTTGAAGAGGACCGTCGGATGGAGCTTGGCAACGACCGCCGTCGGCCCGGAGGGCATGTGAAGCACCGTGCTCCCGATCGCCATCGCCCCGCCCTGCCGCAAGAAACCAAGAACCCTAGAAATCCCCTAGAACAAGGTCGGTCGGGCGTTCGATACCGCTTGGCAACAGCCCTACTTTTCCCGCCATACGGACTTACTTTATTTTAAGTTTTTTCCACGTCGGCGTTCGCCTATACTCAAGATCAAAACTATTTGTTTCGCGCACTCCCCTGGTGATTCTTCCAATGCTACCTATGTGTGGCCCCAAGACTGGCGCTTGGCGCTTTGTGTTCTAGCGTTTCTAGGGCGGCAGGGCAAGGCGCAGCGCAGCTACGGCGCAAGCCAAATGCGCTGGGAATCGGCGGCTTGCGCTTGGATGTGATCGCTTGGCGTTGGATCGGCTGCCGATCGGCTCGCGCTTGAGGTATTTTGTACTTCCTTTCCATATTCCGGAACCCCAGCGCTTTAGCTCTGAAATTATACTTCCTCCATCGTAGTTTTGATCCGAGAAGCATGGTGTAGGATCGATCCCGGCATATGAGAGTCGGATTGGGTCACACAGGAATCGATAAAGCGATGAGGTGGCTCTTTGGTTGCTTCAGCAGTCGCAAAGAGAGACCAAATCGACAAAAGAAGGTGGATTGGTGGATTGGTACTGATTTTCTTTGTATTGTTTCACGACGGATCTTGCAGCCTGTGAAGCTTTTTGCGACTGCGTGTCAAGCTCTCCTACAGAAAGGTACGAGACTATATGTTTTGTTTTTGCGATTTAAATGGTTTGTTCCATCGACAGCTTCAAGCCGGCCTGACAAGGCACAAGTACTTCCGGACTCTGGATTGGAAAATGACGAGAAAGGAATATCCCGACGGCGTGATCCAGAGGTAAGTTGATTCATCTCTTTTCTCAACTCCAGTTTATCTCAAAGGCTTCAGTTTTTTCACTTCATCTATTTTTCACTTGCAACAGCTGATCAAGGCACGCGATAAATTGCGAGCTCACGATGATCCTGAGTAAGTGCGACTGCTATGTTGACAACTTCAGGTAACTCATCTGACGCTGGTTAAATGGATTTGGCATGATGGAACTTCAAGAGCCGGCTTACCACGTGAAGATCATAACAAGGAAGCGTTTCATAGCGCAGCTCACGAGGGCGACGGAGACCTTTCAGTACCGGCAGAGTCGAGCATTCATGGCAAGGACACCCGTGACGATTATCTCAGCATCGACTCGGTTTTCCCGGCCTCTTTATTCTCGGACGAGAGGTTTGGCTCCTCGGAGGGCGATTTTTCTATTTGCAAACCCGCTCCTCGCAGCTTCAAGAAGACCGAGGTCTCAGAGGACTCCACCTCCCTCTCGAGCGAAACCAGGAGCACGCAAACGCAGATGAGCTTTGATGAGAAGCCGATCATGGGTCTGGTTGCGGCCGACTGGCTCGAGCCGGACACTTCGGAAGTAAAGTCTTACAAGGCGTGGGATGGGAAAGGGATCCCAAACTCCCCGTCCAAATACAAGGAGGTGAGTGAGGACTTTCTCAGCAAAATCTAACGCGATGTGTGATGTGTATCTTTGCAGGATCAAACGATAAACTTCCAAACGATTTCGTTTGAGGCACGGCTTGAGCGTGCACTGGCTGCTCAGAGCGTGATGGAACACTGAGTAAGCCTGGAATACATAATGTAAACTTATAATGTTCCAGCTCTTGTTTTCTAATGGTGTTTATAACTAAAGATGAAAAAGGGGAAAAAAAACTTTTAAAAAAACAGAAAGCAGGGTTAGGCCGTTTTTAAAAATGGAAACGATACCTAAGAATATGCTCTGCTAAGCCCTAAAATTACTCACTTTAAATACTTTAATGTGTATGCCACGTGGCATTTTTATATATTAGTTTTGAGGTTTAGGGTTAGGTCTGTTGTTAGGGTTTAGGAGCTTCAGCGCAGCCGCCGCCGCCGCCGCCATGGCTCCCAAGCTCGATCCATCGCAGGTAGTGGAGGTGTTCGTCCGCGTCACGGGAGGCGAGGTAGGCGCTGCGTCGTCGCTGGCCCCAAAGATCGGCCCCCTGGGTCTCTCACCCAAGAAAGTGGGAGAGGACATCGCCAAGGAGACGGTCAAGGACTGGAAGGGGCTGCGCATTACCGTGAAGCTCATCGTCCAGAACAGGCAGGCCAAGGTGGAGGTTGTGCCCAGCGCCGCCGCGCTCGTGATCAAGGCGCTGAAAGAGCCGGAGAGAGATCGCAAGAAGGTGAAGAACATCAAGCACAGCGGCAATATCTCCCTCGAGGACGTGATCGACATCGCCAAGATCATGAAGCACAGGTCCATGGCCAAGGAGTTCAAGGGGACCGTGAAGGAGATCCTTGGGACGTGCGTCGCGGTGGGGTGTACCGTGGATGGGAAGAGCCCCAAGGATCTGCAAACGGAGATCGACGATGGCGAGGTGGACATCGCCGAGGTTTGAGAGGGAAGGATTATATGCTACTTGTGTGGATGTTCTTTTTTGGTATGTTTGAATCAATGGAGACGAACTTTAACTTTTGTTTCGATCAAGGATAGAAAGTAAACATTGGGGTCATTGAATTGGAAGGATTGATTGGTAAAACCTTGTGACAGATTGATCCTTTTATTCATGCTTGAATAGCGCGTAGGAAAACCATTGGACGAGTAGAGTTTCGAAGATGCTTTCAGCAGCTTTGCTTTTGTCCTTGTCATTGATGTTGCGAGACTTTCCATCGACCATTTTTTCGTCGCAAACCTTCTCGCTCGTTCGAATCGCTCGTTTTCGCAGCGAATCCATTACAATACCTATACCAAACCCTCCGAAAGACCTACCTTATATAGGAAAGTGGAAAAGGTATTATTCGTCGAATATCCTAAAATGGTCAGTGACTATTTGTAGAATATTCTTAAAGTTTAGTGATTATTCGTGGAATCCTTGAAGTTTCCGGTAAACCCTAATCCACGAACAAGGTCATGGTCGCTACTCCTCCTTCCTCCTGGATCCTCCTCCCTCTCATCGCCATCGCCGCCACATTGTACGCGCTGCTCTTCTCGACCATCGCACCGCCGGCGCGTGGGATCCAGGAGCTCGCCGTGGACGCCAATGCGCCTTCTTCTTGCGATTACTCGGCGGGGACGTGGGTGTTGGATCCCTCGCGGCAGCCTTCCTACTCGGAAGACTGCCCCTTCCACAGGAATGCGTGGAATTGCCAGAGGAGCCGGCGGCCGGGAATGGAGAGGATCTCGGCGTGGCGGTGGATTCCCAGGCAATGCGAGCTCCCGGCTGTGGATCCCGCGGGATTCCTGGCCGCGATGAGAGGCCGGCGATTAGGGTTCGTGGGGGACTCGCTCAACGAGAATTTCCTCGTTTCTTTGCTCTGCGTGTTGCGCCGCGGCGATCCCGTGGCGCGCAAGTGGAAGCGCAAGGGCGCGTGGAGGGGAGCGTTCTTTCCTTCTTTCAACGTCACCATTGGCTATCATAGAGCTGTCCTTCTAGCTCAATACCGCGAGTAAGCTCTCTCTCTCTCTCTCTCATAAGCTTAGGCACTTATGGAGAGCTCTCGTATAGAGTAGACTCATCTCTCTCATAGATCATAGAGCATAGAAGATCATAGAGAGCTCATCTCTCATAGATCATAGAGAGAGCTCACTTATAGAGTAAGCTCTCCCTCTTATAGGCAAGTCGCTTTGGTTTTTTTCCATTGTTGCCGTTTGTCATGCTTTTGTTTGTTCCTTTTCTTTCTTTTCTTGTAGGAAGGCTACAGCCAAGTGATCTTCCAGGGCCACTCAAGAACACCAAGCTAAAGAAGGCGTTTCGGGTGGACGTTGACGTGCCTGCTCCAGACTGGGCCAGTGTTCTCAGCTTCTACGACGTGTTTATCTTCAACACGGGGCACTGGTGAGAATCTCTTGCAGCAGAAAAAATTCTGATTTGATTGCCCAGGTGGAGCCGAGACAAGTTTCCAGATGACGAGCCTCTAGTTTTCTACAGGAGAGGCAAACCGGTCCTGCCACCCTTGGGAATGAGAGAGGGCCTTTCGGCAGTGCTGCGTCATATGGTTCCACGCATCGAAGCCGCGCTGCCATCCACCGCTCTGGCGCTCTGGAGGCTCCAGTCCCCGCGGCATTTCGAAGGTGGCGAGTGGAATCAGAACGGGAGCTGTATGTCCGAGACGCTGTTGTCCGATCAAGAGGTGCATGCTTCCTTCCATTTCCTTCCATTCTAACAAGAGTTTGCAGCGGGAGAAATGGTTTAGCAGTGGAACAAACAGCGAAGCGCGCGAGATCAACACGCTCATCCAAGAAGTTCTCCAAACGAGCCAAAAGTTTCGGGTGCTAAACATCACACCTCTGAGCGAATACCGACGAGACGCTCATCCCGCGATCTGGCTGGGACGAAAAGACGCGCACTTGACGTGGGGGCAGGACTGCTTGCACTGGTGCCTCCCGGGGCTCCCAGACACCTGGGTCGATATCCTTTGCGAAATCATCCTTGGATTCTTCCATTCCAGAGCTTAAGAAAAAAAAATTTAAAAAATACTTTGTAGCATTTTCTCTTGCGAGAAAATCTCTTTGCCTTGTCTCTAAACGTTCCTCTTCCTCCAGGAACTTCGGGAAAAGAACTGGCTATGAACAGAAAGAATATGGCGTCAATGTATGTACATGGAAGACTTCTACCTCCTGGTTCTGGAGCTTGACGCGAAGAGCTTCAACTTTTGGGACATGGGAGTGGCACTCCGCTGCCTCTGCTTTCGTTTCCTCCGGGTCTCCCCCCACCTGACCAGCCACGGCAGCGCCGCTCCACCGCCGCCAGGACTCGCCGCCGCCGCCGCCGCCGCGGGTGGCACGCTCGAGGATCGTCGGGACGCCTTGCTGGGACTAGAGTAGTGATCCAGCGTCGACACTGGGCTCGTCATCCTCGAGTTGGAGGAGCCTTCCAAGCGTGAGATGTTGCAAAACTTTCCACTCCGCCGGCTAGCGTTGGTCGACGGATCCACCCGCGAGCCACCACCAGCGCTGGTGGCGCCGTCGCTGGACCGCAGCAACCCGCTCATGATCTGCCAGTCCTCCGTGATCTCCTGCCTCGACAGCGACGTGATGCTCGGCAGCGTGTCGTTTCGAAAGTCCCGCTGCTTCTTGCTCGATCTCGTTGGCCTTCCCGTGCTGGTGGTGGAAGGTTTGGTGTTGTGTCCGCTTCTGGCCACCGGTTCCTGTTCCACTCGGCTCACTGGTACGTGCTCCGACTCGTCGATGGCTTTAAGTTGGAGTGTGGCGCATTCGAAGTGATCGATCTCTGGAGAGCTTCCTCCGCCGTCTTCTTCTACGTCCATTCCAACGCCGGCTTCAGCTGGTATGGCGTCCGCAAACCACGCAACGGAGTCCTTCAGCGAGGGACTGGATTCCTTCCGGTTGCAGGGTGTCTTGTCCAGCGTGAGGCTGAGTAGAATTGAAGCTGCAAGGCTTGCAACTTCATCTTCACTGATTTTCTCTTCGGCAGCTTTATCCTTCTCTGGCGGCCGAGCCTGACTGCCTGTGAGATTCCCGTTTCCAGCCGAGGATGCGTTTGCCCAGTAGGAGTTTTGTTGTCCTTCAAAGACTGTGAACATGGTTTCTACTTTGCATGCCGCCTTCGTGCCTATCGTATCTCTGTAAGTATTTCCTCCAACTATGCCATTTGAATCCTTTTTCACACCAGGGATCGTCACGTAATAGTTCAAACCCATGGTGTTCTCGTACCCGTTCTTAAGCTGACCATTTCTATCTGCTTGTTGCTGTGAGCTATCTGCGTACCGTTTTGTAGCCAACGAAAACAAGCTACCAGATGAACCATTTACGAGCCCATCCCACGTTACTGGTAAATGAGAAGCAGCTAGCCCGTTAAAATATGCTGTTCCAGACACCTGCCATGGATGGGGAGTAGCATGCATGTTTTGTTGCATGCCGCCTGCTTGCTGGTGCCCATACCATAAACCTGTTCGACCATCCTGCTCTCGGCTTGAGACTACTGCTGGCGTTGGAAAACCTGTGCTAGCGAACCGTCCAGAAGAATTTTTTGAATCTTCCCAACCATGAAGTGGAGCCTGTGCAAACCCATTTGGCATTTGGAGCTGAAAAAATCCGGAGGCCGAAGCTTGGTTATTGTTTCCGATTCCCTGAAGCAATCGAAACTTATAAGCACATAAGTAGGCGTAGCAAAAGCTTAGATTTACCTCGAGAAGCCATTGTTGATGATTTTTCTGCAAGCACGTCGCCTGCCTTTCTTTTTGGCCGACGGAGAAACTTTGCACATGACTTTTCATGTCTGAATAGTCCAGCCTCGGTCGTTTCATCGAGCCGCAGTGCAAGAACAGCTCTAAATCGCAATTGACGTCTGTTGGACAAGGCTTTAGATCCAATTCCTGATCCACATTTTCGTCGGGAAGCTTTTCCAGGTCAAAGCCTTTCGGGAATCCTGTTTTGGTCGGCTCCTCTTTCAGAGGGAAAAACTGGTGATGCTGAGGAGGATTCCCATTTGGGCCGCTAAGATTTGTGGCACCCAGTTCGTCCATCATTGATTTCTGCACCTCGTACAGGTAATGAAGTGCTTGGACCTGAAAAGATTAAAAAAATTAGCGAAAACCAACGCGGAAAAAAAGAAAAAAAAAATTTTGACCTGTTCTCTGTAGATTTTCTCCTGCCTTAACATTGTCTCTCGGACGAGCATGCACTCGACGGAACTTAGATGACCCTCCATGTCCTATCTACTCGTGAATCATCCTGGAACAAGGAAGAGAACGCATCCTTTAGTCACATTGCAATGCTTCTCGAGGGAGAAAGAGAGAGAGAGATAGAGAGATTTTCGAACGCATTCAATGCCAGAATTTAGAGAATGCGACAGCTAATGCTAAGCCAGGCACCAGAAAAACAAAGAATCGTCTTCCACACCCCACATCCAGACACGCAAGAACACAAAACTCTCACACACGCACGCACACACACACACACACCTGATAATTCCTTCCCCACGGCTCCCAAATTCTCCTCCCCGGCCCTAGCAATATCTCCCTAGACAGCTCAAGAACCTGGTCTTTCCACCGCGCCGCGCCGAAATATCCTTCGATCTGTGCCGACGCCGCGCGATAGAGCGCCTGGAGCGCGAGAATCGCAGAGGAGAGATCAGCCGCCGAGCGCTGGCCGCCGCGATTGAGCCGCGCCGCGAGCGTCGCGCGAGGAGGCGAGCTCCGCCATAGCCGCTAGGCTTTTGGCCTTCTTGCTTGAGAAGCAAAATACCTATACTTACACTCACACACACAAAAGAGTAGTAGTCTCGCCAGCATCCAACAGAATGAATGATTCTGACAAAGGGGCGCATCACAAGGGGATTAAACTAAGGCACTTTACGTGCTTTTTTAACCATGGGGCGAAACTTTTCTTCCCTCGCATTTTTCTATTCTAGGGATTTTACCTGCTACGCTAAGTACAAGGGAATATTACGCGGCGATGCCCCATGTATACTACACGTGCATGGAATCACTGACAGGTGATTGGCCGGCGTCACGAGTGACGGGTGGGGGTTTGGAACTGACGGCCTCGCGAGTTTTCCTCTGACGGGCCAGACGACCCTTGGAGAAAACCAACCTTCCCATGTTCGAATCTCACGAGGTTATTTTTCTTTGGTGGCTTTGACAAGGAATATAAGAGAAATATTCATGCTTCTCTCTTCTCTCATGAGCTTCGAAACTGGAAAAGAAGCTCGATAGAGATTGTGTGACTGACCAAACAAAAAACTCTATAGGCATAGCAGTAAACAAAACTTCATGATCTCGGCCATCTCGCGGCCACCTCGGACTCAGTTCATCATTGCGATAGCGATAGCTCGTCCCTGGCCGCCTATTCTTTTTCCTCGTTTTCTCACCGTTTTAGCGAAAATGCTCTCGTCGTCGCGAAATGCCGCGTAGCGTGACGATGCCGTCTAAAGACTTAGTCATCTCGGTCACCACGTCCACCACAGAAGCGACCACTGGGTCACTGTAACCACTGGAAGCTATACTGTCAAGTCCACCTCGGCCACCTTGTCGTTAAAATGCCATTGTCGGATCTGCCACGGGCGGGCACCTCCTCGTCCACGGACCAGACCATGACCGGCCCGAGGCTTGTAATTAATCCTATGATTTTCCCTGGACCAAGTCCTCAAGTATTCTCTGATAATTCCCTTGAATGCCGGCTACTCATCCTTTCCACAATGCCACATTCCTCCTACTGGCACGAACTTGTCGATTAATAAAGTATTAGATAACTAATTAATTAATTATCCTGCAAAAGTGAAGTTTAGACTTAATTAAGCTAATATAGGAGGAAACCTTCCCATGTTCGAATCCTGCTGTTGTTTTTTCGTAAGGAATATAAGAGAAATATTCATACTTCTCTTCTCTCATGTAGAGATCGTCAAACGAAAAACTCTATAGAAACTTACGCACCAACGTCGTCGCCTTCTTCTCTTCAGTAGTCCTGGCCTCTAAAGCCGGATCCTCCTCTCCCCCGGAATCCACCGCGCCCGCCACCACGGAAGCCTCCTCCCCCTCCACGGCCGCCGCCAAAGTCATCTCGGTCTCCAAAGCCGCCGCGGCCACCTCGGCCTCCACGAAAGCCACCACCACTCCGGAAGTCATCTCGGTCTCCATATCCGCCTCGTCCGCCGCGTCCACCTCGGAAGTCATCACGGTCTCCAAAGCCACCACGTCCACCGCGGAAGCCGCCGCCGTCACGGTCACCGTATCCACCTCTTCCACCTCGGAAGCCACCGTCGCGGTCGCCATAGCCACCTCGTCCGCCCCGGAAGTCATCCCGGTCACCGTAGCCCCCTCGTCCACCCCGGAAGTCATCTCGGTCGCCATATCCTCCACCACGGCCGCCGTAGCCTCCACCTCGGCTTCCAAACCGGCCCCCGCCACGACCACGGCCTCCAAACCGGCCGCCACCTCCACCGTCGTCATCACTCTCGTCGCTAAAGTCGTCGCCGTTGCCGTATCTGCCTCGGCCACCTCCTCCTCGTCCGCGGCCCCGACCACGACCGAAACGAGGCTCGTCATCCTCGCTCAGGAAATCGTCGCTGTCCAAGTCGGAAGCGTCGTCGCTGGCGTCAAACTTCTTATGGCCAAACCGGCTGCCTCTTCCTAATGCTCCGCGAGCTCCTCCTCGGCCGCCACGGCCTCCTCTCGAAAAACGGTCGTCTTCGCTCACGTCGTCGCTGTCGTCGTCGAGGTCGTCGTCAAGTCGCGAACGGAGTCCACCACGGCCTCTTCCTCTGGCTCCTCGACCACGACCACCACGGGAGCTTCCAAAGTCGTCGTCGTCATCACTGAGATCGTCCATGCTGTCGTCTTCGCTGTCAAACCGGCCACCACCTCTGCCTCTTGCTCCTCGACCACCTCGGGTGGTGAAGCTACCACCACGTCCTCCACGAGCACCCCTGCGAGGCATGTCATCGTCGTCACTGTCGTCCAAACTATCATCAAGGTCGTCTTCGCTGTCCTTGGCAAAACTCGCACGACCACCCCTTCCCCGTCCGCTAGTAAAACTCCGGCCTCGTCCCCCACCGTCGTCTTCTCTAAGTGAGGACGCCCTGGATGCAAATCCTGCTCCTCGCCCTCTACCTCTCATCTGGCCACCACCACGTTTGGAGGACGTAAAGTCGTCATCGTCGTCGGAGTCGTCGTTCCATGCATCATTTTTGCTCTGCTTCTTGCCTAAATTTTTCCTGGACCCTACGTCGAAGTCCTTGTCGTCGGAGTCCTCATCTAAGTCACTCTCGGACTCGGACGCCATTCTCCGATTTTGAAGGGAAGTTGTTCGCTTAGGCGCAACTTTGAAGTCATCATCGGAGTCGCTGAGACCATCACTGTACTTGCCTTGCGCTTGTTTGGCCTTCCTCTCGAGGTGTGTGTGCTGCCGGGCAAAATCTTCTGGACTGCCCTCCCACTTCTCTTTGGTTCCTTTTATTGTGTGGAACACCTTGACTGTGTCAGGCCGCTCGGCTTTGCAGTCGTGGCATTCTTCATTTCTTGCAAAGTTCACGAACCGGCACCTGAGAACGAAGAAGACGACTCGTTTGAAGTTGTTATAAAAAGCATGAACTTACTCTGGACATTCCCAATCTCCGGGGCGCAGATCTTGTGGCGGACGTGGTGTATGACACTCTCGGCAATGCCTATTCCTACAAAAATTGATGTAATCACACCTGTAGAAAGAGAGAAAACAAAAAAAAAAAAACAAAAAAACATCAGAACCAGACGAGGAAATTATTCAATCTTACTCGACGCATTTCCAGTCTCCAGGTTTCATTTCATAGTTCTCGTTTTGTGGACGGCTAGTTTTCGGTTTTGCAATCACTTCCTGACGGTCACGAGGCAGTGTAGGATCCCGAGAGACGGCACCTAGACTGGTAAGCTGCCTCAAGATGTTCTTCACAGCAGTCTTGGTTTTTTCAGGGAAATCCGAACCCTCGGAAGTACACACCACAAACTGGAAAAGATACTGTAGAGCATCACTGGTTGAAGCCGTCGAGTCTGGAGGCAAGTATGCACGACTGCAGTCGTCTTTCTTAGAGCAAGACTTGCAAACCTGGATAAAAGAAAAGGAAAACGACCAGTAAATCTAGAAAAAGGAGCCAGCTTTTGATTACTTACTTCTGCTTCCTCGACGTTACAAAATCCTCGCAACCTCTTTCCAGAGTTGACAGCCTTACGAAGTGTAGTCGGACAAGGATGACTGGCCAAAACTTTCAAGTCGCCCATTGGAAGCATCCTGCAAAGATTAAGAACAGAAGTCTGAGCTAAAAAGGATATTGGAAAGTAAAGGAAGGAAAAAAAAACTTACTTGAGGATGTCGTCCCTCTCGGTGCTGAAACGCTTGAAAGCCTCTGCGATGTTTGAGAAGCTTTCATAAGCCGCCTCACCCTTCACAAGCTCCTCGGCATTAAGCTTGAAGTAATTCTTCTGCTTGAGCAGCGCAACGAACTTCCTCCAGGCGTCCATCACCTCCCCACCAATGGACGAGTCCAGCGTTTGCCTGTGACCAACAACTCTCTGCTTTGATGCCAACACGTCTTCGATCTCACTGTCGCTCAAGTCGGACACCTCCTTCCCATTCTCGGCTCTGACATCAAAGTCCGAGTCCGACCCGGACTCCAGCTTCTTAAACTCCTTCTCGAGATCCGAGTCGGACGCCACATCCTCCTCCACCTCCGACTCGGTAGAAGCCCCAAGAGCGTCCTCAATCTCAGAGTCATCGAGCTCCGAGAAATCGCTTTCATCGTCCGACTCCATAGCAGCAGCAGCGGCCTTTGCAGAGAGCTTGCTGCGCTGGCCAGCCGACGCCCCCCGGCCTGTGGAGCTATTGATCTTGTCCATCTCTCTCGCCATCTTCATATTCTCCAGCTTGAGCGACTTGGTCTTCTCCTCCTCACCTTTGAGCGACTTGTTGAGCGCTTCTATCTCACCGTCCTTCCCTTTGACGCGCTCCTTGAGCGACATCAACCCATCCTCGGCATCCTCCTCCTCGGTGGAGACCGCCGCTGATTTCCCAGGAGTGTAGCATCTTGTGGAAAGAACCCCAAGCGCCGTTGGGAGGAATCGCGACACCCCAAACAATGCCTGCATTCCTGCCGTGCTGCTGCTGCTCCGTCCAAATGCCGGAGCTCCAGCTCGCGGCGCTCTAGTTTTGCGAAGAAGCATACCTTGCGTGGTGATTGCCCTACATTGCCACGAGCGGCTGCTGGCGGAGACGAGCGAGAGACGCGAGCAAAGGCCCGCCGGCGCCATTGCTCTGGAAACGTTCATAGCCGCGCCTTAAACCCTAAACCACCATGGATAAAACCCTAGACCTAAAGGGTTTAACACAACCTCCTCCATCCAACGGCTATGGGGGTGTCGAGATCTTTCTTTAAAATTTAAAACTTTTTAGGTTTTAGGGCTCTCAGCCATGGCGACTTTGGCGCCCACATCGGGATTTCGCCTCGGCGGCAGCATTTTTCAGGCGAAGACGCGGAGATTTTCGCCGGTTCTTGTGTCGAGCAGGAGCGGCGGCGGCAATGCGGCGTCGGACATGGCAGTTTTTCTGGAGATCGACGGGTATGGAGGATAATTTCACTGTTTCAGTGCTTGAAAAGGGCTTGTTCTTCCTGGGCATAGAGTTGTGGCTGATTTGCACAGACACGGGCATCGGCAAAGCTTCAATGTAGGTACGAGATGTTTTTGTGGCTGTGAGCTGAAAATCAAGCGGTATTTTTGACAGCTTTCCAGAGGCTGGGCCTCGACTGCGCGAATTGGACTGAGCCTGTCTACCTTGATCTTCTCAGGTTGCTTTTCCTTCTTCTGTTCTATTCTCCTCGTTTTTTCCGTGAACGAATTTCTCTGCAGGCAGGCAGGCAGTGATGAAACGCAAATGCTGACCACATTTTTCGATAGAGTATGTTTTCCCTTTTCATCGGTTTTGTTCTTTCGTTCTTTTGTAATGTTGGAAAGGATTCCAGATTGGATGGCCCATGTCGCTGCCAACGAATGAGAAGGACACATTTGTAAGAAAGCTAATGGAATCCAAGGTACAATTCAATCTACAATTTGGTTTCTCTTTCTCTGACAGAATTGAAAACAACTGCTATCCATCAAGCAACACGAACTGGAGACTCTGGCAGCATCGGATGCGATTCCAATTCGACCCGACTTAACGAGGTATGTAGCAGAGAGCCTTTCGTCACCTTTCATGTGTTTTCACAGCTTTGTGGACGAGGCCATGGGCGAGCTCGTTCCCGTTGTCTTCATATCTTCCTACAGCAAGAGCGGAGAGCGGGTTGCAAGGTAGTCTTTTACGAAAAGACGAACATGAAATGGATCTTTGGTGTGACCACAACAGACTGCTACTCGACAAGCTGGGAATGGAGCGCCTCGACTACATCAAGATTGTTGGCTCGCACGAGGTGGAAAGCAGTGCGTATGGACAAGTTGTCCTCGGCCTCGGCGTTTCTTCCTCTCCAGATGAGCTCCTTGCCACCGAAGTCGCCAAAGCTGGTTTGTGTGACCTGGCTCTATACTTCGACTCACTACTCTTTTTCCACCAGTTTCCAGCGAGAAGCAAAGGCTTGCCAGTGAGGTTGCTTCCACCTTGAAACTTAAAGTCGATCTTGACACAACCTCTAGTGCACTGTATGGAAACTTCAAGTTTATATCGCTAAAACGTATCTAAGTTTTTGTTCCTTCCAGATTAAAGACAACAATAGCAGCTCTAAGAGCCGCTGCTGAGACCGCTGGAGTGCCTATCGATCGGGGCATCCTTCTGGCTGGTGCCTATCTCGGCACAGAAGCAGCCAGTAGAATCAGCCTTCCCTGCGTTGTTGTACGAAGCAGGTTTGTGCTTCAAAGTTCTTTCTATCCAAACAGAATGAGTTTTTGTCATACAGTTTAACGGCTAGAGCGGAGTTTCCCCTTGCTAGAGCAACACTGGAAGGCTTTGGAGCTGGAGCTATAACTCTAAGTAGATTGCGGAAGTACCTGGCTTGAAATTCTACCCTGTAAGTTGTAAGCTATGTCAATATACACGAGCTTGGGCTTTCTAAACCACCGCTTCTGTGTGTTTCTCGTTCTTGATGTTCTTGATGAGATCGTTGGTTGATTGCTTCTGTGTGGACGAGACTGTTGGCAGGAAGAGGGCAGTGTAGATGAGAGCGGCTGCCGTCGCTCCCAGCAGCGGCGCGGCCCAGTAAATCCAGTGGTTCTTCCACTGCCCCGACCACAGTGCTGCTCCAAGTGATCTTGCCGGGTTCATCGATGCTCCAGTGACGGGCACCCCAACGAGGTGGTCAACAAGTACCGCCATGCCAATTGTGAGGGGCGCTATAGTCGAGGGGCCTTTTTTGTCCACCGCGGTTCCAAAGATAACGTATACCAGCACGAAGGTGAGCAGCGCTTCCAGTCCGAAGGCTTCGATGACTGTGAACTTGGAATTAACAGCATGAGCTCCAAAGTGTCCCTGCAAAGTTGCGATGAGAAATGTAAAGTTGCGTGGAGTTGTACAATGAGACTTACGGCGATGGCAGATGGAAACTCGCGGTAGAATCCAGCACCGAGCACTGCTCCTGCCAGCTGAGAGATCCAATACATGAGACCTTTGATGATGCTCATGTTGCCGCTCATCATGAAGCCGAACGAGACAGCCGGGTTAAGGTGGCCTCCAGAAACTCCAGCGGTTGCGGCTACGAGGATAGCGATCGCGAAGCCATGCGCGATGGCTATAACGAGAAGCCTGGCAGAGTTAAGCTGGTCATCCACGATTCCTGCACGAAAAGTTTTCGCGTAAGTTCATGATTGTCAAAAGATAAAACAAAACAGACCCGAGGACACGACAGATCCGCATCCGAGGAATACGAACAGGAACGTCCCGATGAACTCTGCAGCACAGCCAAGGAGTGTTGTTGGAGAGAAGGGGTCTCTCACTCCCAAGCTCCAGCTTCTCAACATGATGGTTGATGAGGCAAAAGCTTCTCTCTAGTTGAGGTCGCTCCACACCAAGGAACTGCAACGAGGAGAGCTAAGGTCCCAGAACTTATATACGTCCCCAAGGCGCTTTGTTTGTTTGTAGCCCTCTATCTGCGATCGATGGACTATTCCCGAGTCGGCCGAGCAGGGTCCACGTGGAGGACCGACCGTTAAGAACTGAGCTCCCGGAATAATTCTGCCAATGTTCCATGCTTCATAAGTCCATGCTGTAATGGCCAACCAGCCGCCCTGACTGGGCCCTTGCCTTGAATTCGTTCTTCTTCATGCGCTGCTCGTTCATTGAAATGCTCCTTAGATAGATTCGAATACCCCTGATTGCAAAACAACGAAAGTCGAAAGTCTATAGCGAAGGATTCAAAAGCAAGAATGATGAAAACCTGCTTTTAAGTTCTCGGCTGAGCAATAGTAGCTCTCTCTCACGAGCACGATGGCGATGGTGATGACGATGAAGATGACGTCGAGGATGATGTTCTCCGTCTCTTCGACTTGTGGCGTTTATGTCTTTCCTTCCTTTCTCTTCTCTGCAATAATGCGTAACGTAATTCAGTCGCACGCTTAGTGCTAATACCAAAGGACCTTACTTTTCGTTTGCTCCGTTCTTTGGAAGACTCCTCCCTCCTGTCCCTGCTCTTGTCCTTCCTTTTGTCACGGGACCGGCGTTGATCTTTATCGTCCTTAGTAGTGGCGTGGTCCTCGGGTTCACTTGTGTACTGCGCATCCTTGGCTTGTGCTTTCTCGTCTCTCTCTTTCTGAATATCGGCTTTCGGTTCCTCTCCTTTCCGAGACGGTTTAACGAATTTAATATGACCCTTTGGAATGTCTTGAGGTTGTCCGCTTGAAGTGTCCTCAGTAGTTTGTCCTTTTGAAATGTCCTCAGGTTGTCCTCCTGAAGTGTCCTGAGTAGTTTGTCCTTTTGAACTGTCTTCAGGTGCCTTAACTGGAACAGGCATGGGAGGAGGAACTGCAAGTCCCAATTCCTTTCCAAGTGACTCCAAAAAGTCATCCGCCACCAAGCGTGTTAAAGCTGCATTCGCAGCATCTACGTTTTTCACCGGTTGGCTTGGAGCTTCTTCCTCTTCATCATCAGAAAAGATAGCCTGCCACCATTCACGTTAGATAAATATCCAATTTGACGAGGAATAATACCTTGTAAAGATCAACGGGCTTTTCTGCAATTTTCTCCTCGGGTTCCTGTTGTTCACCCTCATCAACAGGAGGTGTGCTTTCCCTTTGCACTTCTTCAACTTTAGCAGCACTTCCAATAGCTTCAGTAATCTTCGAGGAAAACAGACTCTCTGACGGCGTAGCAAGCGTCAAAGACTCTATCCGGCTCTTTGGTTTCGCTAGAGAAGACTGCAAGACGATGTAACATTCAGAATAATAGGCAAAAAGATACTGAGGCGCACCTGTCCAGTGTATGGATCTAGCACGTCGAAACGTTTGCAGAGAAGTGGAAGAGGTCTCCATGGCTCCTCAGTCCTCCTAGGATAAGACAAGGATGTGGAAGGCTGAGGTGCATAGCTTGTTGATGGAACTGATAGTTGATTTGGTGATTGCTGTTCCTCGATGCTTTCTGAGGAAAAAACGAATATGTAAGCTTTAATGTGCTAAGAGATTGACATGATACACACTTACTTACAAATTTGCCTGCCTGTTCAACACCCCCGGACGTGAATCTGTCACTTGAGGCAGCCAACTTGCCAAGTAAATTTGCACCCGACGATGAAACAGTTCCTCTAGCAGCATGTGCAACAGCCTCAAACTCAAGAATTTCCTGCGCACGTTGGGCTTCTGTCAGCTGTTGAGCACCTTTGTTCATTTTTCTTAAACCCCCGGTGTACTTATCCTTAAGAAACTGCTCATAGCGTGCTTGCTTAGCAGGGTCATCCTCGAAAGGTAGACGATTTGTCTTAGTTGGCTGCAAGACTACAAAGTAAGTGAAAAAGCATACTATCATCGAGCCTACCTCTGCAGATGGCTTCATGAAAGTGTTATTGAGTGTCGCCTGTAACCGAGCACGATCTTCAGCGGGAATAGCCGGCAGCGCTGATTTTTGCAGAGGCATCTCCCCAAGAGCTTGACCACGTTCGCTTGCACCAAGCTTCGGCCTATCTCGATTAGATTGAATCTGCAAACCACGCTTCGATCGTTCTTCCCATAGCCTCCTTGTATAGTAGTCACCACCCATCCCCCCAAAAAGAAACTGAAACAAAGGATTTTCTTTGTTCTTCTCTTTGGAGAGAGCTTCAAGTTGAGTTCCACTCCTTGCCACAAGAATTGCCATGCCGTCTATCAGCTTCACAAGAGTTTTATCTTCCGGCTGTGGTGCTTCGAGTGGGGTATTGTCAGATTGTGATTGTGATAGATCCAAGGCTGCAACGAACTTGTGAACTGGAACGTAGTCAGGAGGAACCACAGGAGGGTGAAACCTGATATATGAAACAGTACGTGAGCATAAACAGTAATGAAAATGCATACTACAAACCATTCTGCTTGGTAAGTGTTCTCGCTAGCAAGTTTGAATCCCGGCAAAGCATCTTTTCCAACTGCCACAGTCGGAAGCCTTGGCCTTGGTGCTTTTCTCTCTATTTTTTCTAGCCGCTCTAGCTCTTCATCTTCGAGTACCATCATCTCAGGATGAGGACCTTAGGAGAAAGAAAAGGCAAAAGAAATTAGCTGAAAGTCCCAAGTATACATTTACAACCTGTTGCATAGACGTCCTCATCTTCATCCCCCATCTCCTCAAGGGCTCCTATGCCGAAGCCCTTCGACATTGTCACAGCTGCAAAGTGCCACGGTTTTAGATTTTATAAAGCAAGGATCGAATTACCATTTGGACGAAGCGTTCTCCGCTTGACTTTGTCCTTATCATCATCCAGCCGATAGTCCTTGGCATCTGCAGCCATCGCATTATCATCTGAAGAGAAAGAAACAACGAATGCCTACGTCGAAATTCAGGAGCACTTTGAAACGGATCAAATCCCAAGCCATGAACGTTGTCCTTTATTTTCCTGACAAAGTCCTGCACGGAAACACAAACATGATGTCTGCAAAATCGCCACAAGCAAACAGCTTACAGGAACACTAGTTGGTGGCAAATCCAATTGTTCCTCTGCAGTTTCACTATCTTCCAATGATGGACCAGCATCTTGTGAGCTACTGCCTGCACTAGCTAGAGCCAGCATAGCTTTCCTGCCTTCTCTTTTAACCTCTGCAAATGCCCGCAGTTAGCAATCATTAGAAAAAAAGAGCCGTACTATTACCTGAAGAGGCTGCTATGTGTTTCGGGCCAATACCCCGACCATGTCGCCATCCCATTTTCCTTAGCAGCTTCACACCAATAGAATCTGTCGGAGGTACGATTATCTCATCCGGCACAAACCCCGGAATAACAGCAGGCCTAGAACGTAAATCTTGAGGAAAAATCACGAGAAACGATGCGTACCTGTTCGTTTCTTGAGTAGCTTCACGCCGAGCATACTCCGCTGCAGTGAAACCGAACGTGTCGAATTCTTGAGCAGTTCCAATTTGCTTAGAATCCATCTCCTGCAAACGGGTTTCCAAGGCGGCCATTAAGCGGACTCAGCTCTAAAGTTCCTACAATGCGTACCCTTCGTTCTTCATCATCCATATAATCATAGGCGCTGTGTTGTCGCATATCAGCTCGACTTCCTCGCGACGACTTGAAAGTTTTTGGCTCCCATCCTTGAAATCAAAAACGTTTAAGCACACATAACGAATGAAACATTTCTCTTACCGTCTTTGGACCCGACAGTGTTGAAGTACCCAGCAGAGAAGCCTCCCGTAAACGCTCCATGGAATCTCCTGCGGCCCTCGCTATCACGAGCCTAGACACGAAATTTTCAGCAAGAGAAGCGAGAAGAACACATCGATCTTACATCCTGCTTCCACACGGGCTGCTGCTGGCGAAGCGTCCCCTTATCCAGCGCCTTAGCGCGTTTGCGAGCCGAGAGCTCATCGGAATTCTCGAGTGGAGTGCCATAGACCACCAGGGCGCTTCCATCGTCATCGCCTCGCCCCATTAAATCCCAGCCCTAAAACAAGAACCCGACCAAAACCCTAATACAAAAGGGGGAAAGAAAGCTAGTTTCGTGCGATCGATCGAGCGATGGCGGAGGACGGCGACTACACGGCGGCACTGCGCGGCAGCAACAGCGATCAGTGGCAAGCATTGAAGCCTCCAGCTCCAGCGGCGCCTAGGTTTGGCGGCAATCCAGGAGCTGGTGGATCATCTTCTTCTTCCGACGGTGCGTGCTACCGCTGCGGGCAAGCTGGCCACTGGTCCCGCGATTGCTCGATGCGCCCGGCGGGAAATGCAAGTGGAATCCAGCCTCCTCCCGCGATGAATCTCTCCTCCAAGTCTTGCCCTTGTGGAGCTGGGATGTGCGTTCTTCGCACGTCCAATACTGCGAAAAATCCCGGCCGCCAGTTTCTCACTTGTCCAGCTCCACAGGTAAGCTTCTTTCTTTCTTTTATGTTCTCGCTATAGAACGTAAAGTTCTTCGTGAAACCATTGGTTCTTTCACGGTTTCTTTAACCTTGTCAACTTTCGCTAACACGTAGTTCTTGCTTGATAGGGCGCGAAGTGCAGCTTCTTCGAGTGGTGCGATGCCGCAGGAGCACCCTCTACGAATCAGCCACCGCAGGCACAGCAGCCCGGCGAGCCCGAGTTGAAATGCCGCAACTGTAACCAACCTTGCGTGGTATTCACAGCCAGGACCGAGAAGAACTCCGGCCGCCGGTTCTACAAATGCGTAAGAACCTGTTTTCTTGTGCTTAAAAGCCTTCGATGGATGGTGTAGAAAAAAGAGGACTGCCACTTTTTCAAGTGGTGTGACGAAGCGTTCGCTCCCTCCTCGTCCCCCGGCTATAAGCCTCCTGCTGGCTATGGAGGCGCGAACTACACTGGAGCAGGATATGGAGGTGCTTCTCCCGGCTATGTGAACCCAGGTATCATCCACCACTACTCACCTCTAATAAATCATTTTGCTTAAGCAGGAGTATATGGAGGCCATGAAAACGTTTCCTCCGGCTATGGCGGTCCAGGTACCATTGAAACACAGAAAAAGCATTCACTTTCGAAACCTGTATAGGCTTTGGAGGGCCAAACAACACCGAAGGAGGATATGGCGGTCATGGCTACGGTGGCTCTGGTACCTCTCGACTCTCGTGAAAATGCTTTCAGTCCCAGGCTTTTTTGCAGGGCCAACATACTCGGGAGGATACGGGGCCCGTGGAAACGCCTCTTCCGGCTATGCACGCTCAGGTACCATCTCTCGACCGGTATAAAACTTCCAGCGATTTACAAGCTCCTGCAGGCGATGGACACCCGAGCGCCAGTTATGGTCGTGGATACGGAGACTATGGAAACGCGTAGCTTGCTGAAGCGATCTAGAGATATGGATTGAGAGAGGATAGTAGAGAGAAGAATGCTCGTCGAAAGTTTAAAGGTTTGCTGTTAATATTTTGCCCCGGTTTTAATGTATCGCATTTTGGTTCTATCTTCTCTGTTTTCTAGGGCTTTCCTTGTGAGGGAAAAATGCAGTCTCTCCGAAGAGCGTGGTCATGGCTCAGGCGTCGCCAACAAGAAGACCAAGGGCCTCAGCTTTCGGCGGAGGACATGGGTTACTACACGGAGAATTCTTTCTTCTCGGCGCGTGAAGTTGCTGTGCTCTACAAAAAATTTCACGTAAGCTTTTTCTTCCGTCTCTGTTCTTGATGGTTGGATTCGTTTTTTTTCTTTTTCTTTTTTTTCTTGTCCCCAGGCAATGTGCAAGGAGGGATGGAATGTGCTCACTCACGAGGATCTAACGTCCATTGAGGAGATGCTCGCAAATCCATTTGCTCCGAGAATTCTCGAGCTTTTCAGCGAGGACGGAAGCGGGTTCCTGACTTTCGAGAAATTCGTAAACATGGCGGGCGTGTTCTCCGCAAAGTCGCCACCCGAGGTGAAAATGATATGGGCGTTTGCGCTGTGGGATTTCGACGGCGACGACGTCATTGGAGATGGTAAGGCTCTCGACGTTTTTGGTCTCAAAGCTTTGCTTTAAGCTGTTTTAGAAAGCCTTGCAGACGATCTAAAGCAAGGGATCTCTCTCATCACGCAAACTGACGAAAGCTCCAATCCTTCGGCTCTTGCCACCCTTGGAGAAGAGCAGATTGACGAGGTCGTGTCCAGAGTCCTGCAAGAGATCGATCCAAACAACTACGGGCTAAACTATGCGGACTTCCGAAAAGTGCTACAGAGAATGCCGGATTTCATCAATAACTTCCACATGAACTTTATTGCTTGAGTGCGTAAGTAGCTACACGTCAGCTTTTCCTCCTAATCTTTTGTTATTGCGAAGGGCCGTTCGTCATTTCTACAGTGGCCGCCACACAAAGGATACTTCGTCTGATCATACCCCGTCCTTGCGCCCGTTGCTGCCTAGTTGAAAGTATAAAGGGGATTTCTTGCAACGCTCCTCAAGCGTATTTCTCTCTGTTCTTTCCATTGATCCACAGACGCATGGGTTCGATCGCCATGATCCAAAGTGGTAAGCACTAGATGGTTTTCCTTGCGCTGCTAATTTGCTTTGGTTTTTTTCTTTGCAGGCTCTTGCATCCACCACAAGCTGGGTATTTTACCGAGAACAACAGCAAAGGGCCTAACAGCTTCATTGAGCATGTCTAGCGCTTTTGAGATTAGAAGGGATCTTAGAGCTGCTTCTTCGGCAGGTAGGTGGATCGACATACATTCTTCCTCTATGTTATTACATGTTTCCTCTTTCTTCCAAAGTCGGCATACAGGGAATTTTGTCCAGCGCTTTTTCTCGCCAGCCACCAGTGTGTCTCGCCGTGAGAGCAAGCGCCGAATCCAAATCCAACGCTGAGCTCGTTAAAGACTCGTGGCGAGTCTTAAAGAGGGACGCTGGAACGCATGCTACCGCTTTCTTTCTCAAGTAAGTTCCTTTTGCTGTTTGTCAAACCAGCTCACGTCTAAGTCCTCTCATCGCAGGATTTTCGAGATCGCTCCCACTGCCAAGCAGCTCTTTTCGTTCATGAGGGACTCCACCGTCCCGGCGGAAGCTAATCCGCACTTAAAGTCTCACGCACTCGTCGTCTTTACAATGGTACGCTTGTTCTAGCAGGATTGATATCATCAAACAAGCGTTTTCTCCATTTTCATGACTAGACTTGCGAGGCCGCGATTCTTCTCGGAGAGGATCCCACACTAGCAGCTTTGAGACCAAAGCTCTTGGAGATGGGACATACGCACGTCGTCCACAAGGTCATCGACGAGCATTTCGACGTAAGTTTGCTTGTCTTCTCAATTCGTTGAGCTATTCATTCCTTCAATTTTTTTCTTCTCTTTCAGGTGGTAAAATATGCGTTGTTGGAGACTCTAAAAGAAGCACTCAAGGACGAGTGGAGCCCAAGCATGAAAGCGGCGTGGGCGGAAGCCTACGACGCTGTGACGAAGATTATCAAAGACGAGATGCACGCTGTGAGACGCATGGAAGTAGCAGTCTAGTGTTCTTTCCGGCTGGGAATGTCCAGGCGATAGGAATGTAAGCCGACGGACCAGATCGTTTGGAGGATTCTGGGAAGTGACAATATAAAGATCTCTTTGAGCCAAACCCCTATTTGCGTGTTCATTTGGTGGAGAGAGCGGCGATGGCGTCCTCGGCTGTGGAAGAGGGTGCTGTGTCTGCGTCTGGCGCCGTCATTGGCGATGCTCCTGGCCATGGCGCTCCCGGTGAGATATTTCGCCCTTCGATCTTGATTGCTTTGTGTCGCCATTGAAATTTCGATCTCTTTCATCGATATCTTGCATGCACTTGCAGATCGTGTAGCCCGGGTGCTAGATCGGCTCGTTTTGAGTGCTAGATCGTCTTTGTCGGCGCTAAGTTTCTGTCGGTTTGATTTCAGGAAAGAAAGATGGCGAAGAAGCTCCGGCTGTCAAGAAGGAAGAAACTTCCGCCGTCGAAGCCAAGGTAATGCCACTTCATGTCTTTGATCTTCCAGAAAGAAATCTTGCGCAGGAAAAATCCCTGGAGAATGCTCCGGCTGTCGAATCCAAGGTAACGACATTTCTTTTCTTTGATCTCCCCTTGTGGACAGGACGAAATCTTAATCAGGACAAAGCGCTGGACCTGGGTGTCAACACGGATGTGAACACAGTGAAAGCACCTGGCTTTATGGAGCGTACCATGGAGGAAGTCGAGGCCGTGGCGGAGGCTCTTCACGAGAAGCTCGATCTCAAGGGGACCAATGACGAGAACAAGGACCAGAATGAAGAACGCGACGGCATTTTCAAGCGGCTTCTAAAGAAGATTGGCTTCAAGTGAGCGGACTCGCTGGACATGCCGGTCAGTATCTCTCTTTAGCTTATCTTTGTCTTGTGTTTCTAACGTTCTCTGTGTATCATTTGCAGCTTGCGTCTTAGGCTTTTAAACGTGTATAGAAAAGACTTCGGGCTCTCTGTTTTGTTTTGTACTGTGATTTGTTTTCACTCAACACGATGCTACAAATTAAACAAAGGTACTGTCCTTGAGGCTGCGATCTTTTGTGACCACTTCCACTTCTCGGCAACGTAATCCAGGTTTATTATGGTTCTTTTTTTACTAAACAATTGACTGTCGTTCAAGAGTAGGAGTGACGTCTATCTCTGCTCGGCTTCTGGGAATGACTTCCTTCGGATGCTTTGGAAAAGGAGTCGGACTCTTTGGAGCTTCTTCTACTGAACGGGTTGAGGCGATGAAGTCGCCTGGAAACAGTTTGCGCGAGCTTAGCTGAGCTGGTTGTTTTCTCGATGTCCTGTTTCATGTTGTTGTGACTTTTTTCCAGCTCCGACAGACGCATTCTCATCCGTGCGATCTCTAGCTTGAGCTCGCGGTTCTCCCGTCTCAAGGACGAGTAGTTGTCTCGGGGAGACATTGCAGCACTCACAGTACCACTTGGTCCACCTCGGCCACCAGAAAAGTGAGACAGGTTCGGGTCGTCCATAAACAACGTGCTTCCCATTTCCGTTCTTATTCTCACTTGCTCGAAGTAGAGAACCTGAATCGCAAAGTGCGCGGGCAGCCTTTCGTTCTGAGCTGCATGGCAGCATGCTTCTTGGGACAACTTCTGAGCGCTGAGTAATCTGCAAATTTTCTTCCTCTCCTGCTCACCTAGATTCGGATGTGCCTGGAAGATTCAAACTGAGGCAGTCAGGTACTGAAAGGTTTCTTTGAAGCTCCCTTACCTTGAGATAAATGTCTACTGCTCTGTACAGGCCGTCGTCAATCGCTCGGGCATAATCTGGCAAAAGTTCTCCTATCGCTACGAACTTGTTGACCTTCAAGTTGGCATCTGGCGCAATCTCGGCCAAGTAGCCATCCATCAACTTGGCCACTTTAGAAACTGATGTCTGCGTCGGCGTAGCAAGACCATCCGACTCGTAAGTAGTTTGAGCCTCAGGCAAGTCATCATTCTCATGCTGCTGTATGAAGTTGGTCAGGATCCGCTGCACTATGTCAACGTCAAACAGCGTTTCCCCGTTGTAAGAAAAAGATGGCACAAGCAGGTCGTCCAGAGTTGCCTGGTCCAGCTGCAACGCGATTCTCTTCTCTATGTCTAGCCTGCAAGCGACCGTCGTATCGAGAATGATGGCCGTCCGGAGCAAACCGAACAAGAAGCTGCACGACGCTATGTTCTTCTCTCGAGGTAGCAAGCTGACAATTGTCTCGACTAAGATTCTCTGCTCGTGCTCCAGGGCCGCAGTATTTTCCTGGACTTTCATCAAGCCTCGACCGCCAGTCGGAGCTCTATTGAGGCCCTTCAGCGACTGCTGAGCGTAGTGCATGAGAGTCCCCCAGAGGCTCTCCTCTCGCACGCCTTTGGACTTCATCGCTTCCAGGACCCTCTGGTAGAAATCTATCCGCAGCAGCGACAGGTCCTCGGCCCACCACTCCGTGAAGGCAGACTTTGGAAGTGTGGCATTCGGCTTGCCTTTGCTGCCCAACCGGCCAGAGCTACCGTAGTCCGAGCCGGAGAGGCTGGAAGCTGGCTTCTGATCCTTGCAAGCGATTGACGCGATGGCATCGATGCACCTGGAGACGAGATTGTTGTCCTCGGCAATCGGGAGGAGCTCCTCGCAGCTGTGCAGCACACACAGAGAATTGGCGAAGCTGGGTAAGACAACCTCGTTGACAAACGCTTCTGTTCTTCCCAGCAAGTTTCCTTGCCCGTACTCATCCTTCATTTCCAGGTACTCGGCGGCACAGCGCAGCGCAGCCACATTTGCGGTGGTGATCTCGAAGTTGATGCCGTAGCAGAACTTGGCGGCCAGCTCGAAAGTCTCGGCTCCTCCGGGAACGTCTGGGAACTCGATGCGGGAGAGGTCCATCTCCCGCGCCTCGGCCACCGCCCGCCTGATACGCCCGCATCGAGCAACCAAGGGGAACTGCCAAGCCAAGTTCGCTCATTGGTAAGTCCAAGATCTCTGTTTGAGAGAAGTTTCTCACGCTTTCTTTCATTACCTTGTGAAGGGAAAAGCTGGTGCCGGCTGCCTCAACTACGACGTCTGTGGGAACGTCTGCGGACATGATCCTGCGCAAATAGGGGGTAAGATTTCTTCTCTTTCTGCTGCCTCTCTACTTCGTACTCACCATTGCCCAGTTCTTTTCTTGTTGTAGGAAGTCCGGGACACCAAGCGTTTGCTCTCCTGTTTCGGCATGACGCCCACCATCACCGATCGATCCTCTCAGCACTTGATCATATCAACGAGGGGGAAAGCAATTGGAGACTTCTGGAAGCGTCGAATTGGAATGGGAAAGAGCGTCCAATGGAAAAGCCGTCACAGCACACGGGCGCCCAGGATCCCCATAGCCAAACCGGCTTACACACACACGGAATCAAAATGTAAGTAGCAGCGCCTACTTACTTGCTAGAGCGAGCGTTTGCGCGAACAGACGTTGATCTGGAGGATCCGGCGGTGGTCATGCTTGCACGCCAGACGCCGCGCTGCCGTTTATTCTGGATCTTGGCAATCCAACGGTCGGGGACACGAGTCGGATCCAACGGCCATCATCTCGCGTCGTGTGGCGTTCCAGGCCGCTGATTGGTTCACCTTCTCTGCTGACAACCGTCCGATGGTAGGCGCTAGAGACAGCGGATTGGTCAATTTACACGGTAACTTGTCGTACATTTCACTGGCAGGCAGGTGAAAAGAAAATTTGGAGGAAAGTTTCCGCTGTGACCGAAGTTTTTTGATCCACCGGATTGGATGCTTGACGATCGTATAGTAAATCCTTTGTCTTGCTAACAGCCAGCAGCCTTTCATCAAAGGTAGAGACTTTGGCCAAAGGCCTTGTAACGCTGCCAGCGCGGCGTCCAGCTCAGCATTTTCGTTGGGTGTCCATGTTATTATGGATGCGCATGCCCAGATCTGTCTAGTAACGCCCTTCTTTCTACGTAGATAGATGATTTACATGGTTTGTTTGGAACGAGGGGATCTGGAGGAGCCACACTTTGGTAGGCCATAACTTTTGAAACTCAACATTGGAATCAATCAAATTGGTAGGCCACAACTCTTGAAGCTCAACATTGCGATCAATCAAAAATCACACCTTGGTGGGCCACACTTGAAACTCAACATTGGAATCAACCAAAACGATCCAAAATCGCAAGTGGCTCTATCTTGTTGGAACATCTGTAGGAAAGTGAATCTTATCTCGCGAGGGGGAAAAAGAACCTGGTTTGATCGAGTGGCCACGAAATGCAATGCAAGACGTTAGAAAATGGGAAGGACCACCGCAAAAGTTTAATTGAGGAACACGAGTTAGGCGACGAGGATCTATCGGAGAGTTATATGTTTGTAGTTTTGTATGTCTAGAGAGCTCTCCTTAAAGTTTGAGGGGAGATGCCTTTCATTTGCCACCTTTCTCAGACGCGAACGATATTTCTTTGGCATGTACTGTGGCTACGAGACAAATAGCATGATAGATCCACATAAAGAAACGCTTCACGAGATTAGCGTCAACTTGGAAAAGATTCGAGCTCTTTTCTGGTATAAGTTTACTTTTCGTTCTAGTTGGAAAGTGTCAAAACTTGCCAGTGCCAACCTTCTCACAAAATTTAGGCAGCTCCCTTGAGTTGCTAGCCAGCAGCACGGATCCATTCACCATCCTCAAGCTTATTTTCGCCGATCTTGTGATAGTAAGCTTTCCAGCTTCGTCTTGGTGGCCTTAGCATTGCCGGAGAAAACGTAGTCATTCAAGGCCGACGATAGCGCCGCGGTGTCCACGAGCTTGGACAGTGGCCGGCCCGGGAAGAGCACGGGCAGGGCCTCGAGCCAAGCGACGCAGAAGCGCAAGAACGAGGCCTGTTTTGCCTTCTTCAGTGGCTTGGCGAGGTAGAGGATAAGTAGCTCGCTAAGCAGCGGGAGATGAGGCTCGATATCTCCCGCCATTGACGAAGTCTCGTTTGATCCGGACGGCTTAGAGCCCGACTTGGTGTAGTGCTTGAGAACCGAGGTCGAGAGCTCCATGGCCTCGGCCTTCTCGTAGTCTGTCCGGCCATCTTTGCACTTGTTGAGTAGCTTTCCAATGGAGACGCCCCGGAGCCAAGGATATCTCATAGCAGCGTCGCGGAGGAATGACAGCGGTAGCGTGTTCTTCTTCTTCTGAAAGATGTCGTCCAGCGCAGCGAGCATAGTTTTGACAACTTCCTCGTCAGCCGCACCGCAAGTTGCTTGAGAAACTTTGAGAAGCCAGAAGACAAAACCTTGAGACAAGCCACGGAGCTTTTGGTCTGTGGTTTTTGCGGCCAGAATCACCAACTTCTGAAGCAAGTCCTTGACAGCACCCATATCCACCTCAGACCCCTTGGGATAATTCTTGGCTTTGAGAAGTCTGTTTAGAACGCCACCTATCCTGTCGCTTAACTGCTTGTGCCCGTCTGATAAAGCGTCGAGGTAACTCTGAAAGAGTGTTGGCAAAACCGTCAAAACCGCAACACTCTCGGACTGCTTTTGCAGAAACGTGTCCAAAAGGCCGAGGACACGAAACTTGAATTGCACTAGCTGTGCCTGTGTGTCCGGCTCGCCACTTCTCTTGGCTTTGAGAATCTGCGCGAGGTGGACATCCATCCTAAACATGGCGTCGTCATCCATGTCCGAAAGCTCTGCATCGTCCATAGCACCATCGGTCTGCTGTTTACCATCTGTACCACCTGTTTCTGGATCTTCTTCCGGATCACTGACTTCACTGGCTTCGTTGTCCGTAACTTCTTCTACACTGAGAACGTCTTCGTCGTCATCAACTTGAATATCAAACAGTGGCTCCTGTCGAGTATGGCCAGTTTGCTTGCTGATCACCTTGAGCAAGCTACTTAAGCCAGAAGAGGTGATTTCGCCACAAAACAATCCGAACATCTGAAATAAACAAACACAAGAAGTGAATATCGTCATACACAGTTACAATGGTTACCTGCTCAGCGGCAGCACGGATTGGCGCCGGAGACTGCGAGAGTACTGAAAGAATTATATCAAGAAGCACATCCCCCATTGATGGTGCCTCTTCCTCGTCCTCCATCTCATCGCTAGAAACGTCGACAACCTTCCCGAATGCCTTGTTACAGCAAATAAGTAGCTCGTTAACGATATCATCCATAGAACCAGGTTCGAGGTGCGACTGAATAAATAGCTGCGACAAGAAGCTCCGCATGGCTTCCAACTTCTTATTGCGACTTTCTTCCTTCTTGATCTACAAGAAAAAGAGAAAGAAAAAAGTTGAGTTAAATCGCATGAAACAGATCTTACCGCAGATGAAATCTGAAAAATAGCATCTCTTAGACTGCGTTGTACGGTTCCCTTGTCTGGTTTCTTCCAGGCATTCCGAAAGAACTCAACAATATCGTAGCTCAAGTCTTCGTGAACGTCGTCGTCCTTCGAGCGAGGACTCTTCTCCGAAAGTAAGGATCGGAGCTTTCCAATATACTCATCCTTCTCAGCATTGGATACGTCCCCAGAAGCACACTTTATAAGAGCCTTGACTTTATCAGTGTTCACCGCGTCACTGTTCAGAAATATATGAGCGGCAAGAAACCTCGTAACCTCCTTTGCCGCGGACATCGACTTTGATACCGATATGGCTTGCTTGGAAAAGCTGCACATCAGTTCAACCATCCAGATTTTCTTGCTAGCCACCATTCTCTGTGCATCATCTGACTCGTCTGTGGCATTGATAGCGTCACTGACAAAAAGGCGTTGGAAGTTCTGAATAGCGAGAAGGCAGCTCTCTTCGCTGATAACTTTTCCCAATAGTTGTTTCACCGTAGAGCTCTTTGTCAGATGATCAAACTTTCCGGAGCTGCTCTGCTGTAAGAAGCCAATCGTCAGAACCAACCTGTCTTGGTCTTCTTCAGCCCATGCGGATAAATCGGACACGAACTGCTGAGCGGCACTATGGAGAACGTTGTCCTGTCCTGATAGAATGTCGAGTAGACAGCGTCCGAACGAAGCAGATAAGATGATGGGAGTGCAGGATATCGGCAGCTTCGAAAGGAAGAGTAGCACTAGCCGCATTGCTAAAAACTTCCGTTCGTGAGATGAATCCAAGAGGCTCTCATCCACCACTCTAGTCCAAAAGGTTATCAAACTGTGTTCCTTGGAAGCCAAGTTGTTCTTCTGCTTACTCTTCTTTTGGCGGGTTCGAACAAGCCCTTGATCCAAAAATATGTCCGCCAGAGCATTCCAGACTAGATGTAGTCGAGGATGGCTCGAAGAAGACTCCTGCAACATAGAACGTTAATTTATCGATCAATATTCATGCCTAGAACGCACCTTTAAGTACGGGATGAGAACGTCCAGATGTGAGGCCTGGACCAAGTGCTCCAGAGATCCGGACTTGGGTAACATACGGCATTTTGAAGAAAGAGAGTCTGGTAATTTTCGCCACAGCTTCAAGGCAACAAGTAGCGCATCGGCCCCTCCAACTTCGGGACTAGCATTCAACCACTCTAGAAAATTCGGTAGTGTAAAAACTGATTTTTGTAGAGAAGACGAGGCAAGCTGCATATCAGAAGTGTTAGATTATAAACAAGCTGATATTGTCCATGCTGTACTTACTCTCTCGGACAGGTCCAAAAAGATGGAAGCAGCTGGTTCTCGAAGAAACGTTTTCTTAAATCCAAGAGTCAGGAGGTTTTCTGCGACGTGCTTGGCAAGCTTTTGTTGCTCCTCCGTCATGCCGTTTTGAATCAATCGATCAGCTCGAACAATCGAAGCATAAGCAAAAAGCCTCCCCAACAGCCCATCCTTGATATCCTGCAAGAATCACAGCGCTATATATGAGAAGTAAAAGAAGACTATAACAAAAACGCAGACCTGTCCCTTCATCACGGAAGATACTTCTATTTCCTTGTCAATAAGATTGAGAACCATATCACCGGTTATAGAAGGCAATGCATGAATGGCAGTAGAGAGCGCCGCGGCAAATCCTTGCCTAGCACACTAAAAATCACACCACGCTGAGAAAGAAGAGAGACAAACCAAGAAGTAGAAAGCAAACCTGGTTAGAAGATCCGACTCCTCGAACAAGCCTTGGAAGCGCATACTGGAGCTCCGGAGCACACGACTTGAGCGCACCACCACTGTGCTCCTCTCCGAGAAGAATCCTCTCGGCACCACTCTCAACTCTTCCATCGACCGCCTCAAACGTCTGCTGAGCGGCTTGGAGCTCTCTCACCAGTGCCAATGCCGCTGCCTGTCTCTCCGCCGGATCCAAAGAAGGGAGCTTCCAATAGACTTCCAGCCCTGTCAGCTCAATCGCCTCAGCGCCGAGCTTCCTCCTCTTAGTTTTCGGCAAATCCAGCCGCTCCTCGCCCGGATTGCCCGACGATGGATCATCCGGAGACGGATTATCAACATTTACCTCCGGCGCCCTGGATTTCTTCTTCTTCCGCCTCTGCTGCGGCGGCTCTGGCGATGGATCGACCATTTCTACATCGATCTTCTTCTTTTTCTTCTCCCCCGTCGCCATGGCAGCTGGGTTTTAGCGTTTAGGGTTAGGGTTCATATGGAAATATGGCTAACGGAATGTGCATAGAGATATTCCGTCCTCGTAAAACAAACCCTTGCATTTTGCGGTTGCCCTAAATTTTCGCAAGGCGGGAGGAGGGAGTGGAAGCGAAGGCGGGAGGCTTCTCCGCGCCACTAGCGCAAGGTACGCTGTTGAAGATCTCGGGGGTGGAAATTCTCGAGCCAAGGCGCCAGCGCTTTGATCTTCGCGGTTTCTTGGAGCGCAATGGTGTAGTCGGGGACAGGCCTGGGAAATATGAAGAAAAGAAGGCGATTGGAGTAGTGCTGGATGCTACATTGGTGTGGATCATGCTTGCCGCTGGCGAGCGTGAGCAGAGAGCTGGATGGGGAGTTTAGAATTTCGGCTAGACAATGGAGGACGCTATACAGCAGCTGTGTGCGAAGGACACCAAGGAGAGGATGGCCGGGGTGGAAAGGTTGCAAACGCTTCTAGAGAATAGCCGGAAGGGCCTGTCGGTGACGGAAGCTAGCCATCTTGTGGACGCTACGTTGGGTCTTCTCAAGGACAACAACTTTAAAGTATGCCAGGGAGCTTTGCAAGCGCTGGCTCTGGCCGCGGCACTCGCGGGCGAGCACTTGAAGTTCCATTTCAACGCTCTCTTGCCGGCGGTCGTGGAAAGGCTCGGAGATGGAAAACAGCCCGTGAGAGATGCTGCGCGACGGTTGCTGCTCGCGCTCATGGAGGTACGAGAAAAGAAAGATGGAAGTCTGTCATTCACCCTGTGGTGTTTTTAGATATCATCTCCGTCGACGATCGTTGAGCGCTCTGGGAATTGTGCGTGGACGCACAAGAACTGGCGGGTGCGGGAGGAATTTGCTCGCACCGCTGCTTCTGCTATCAACTTGTTCTCTGCGAATGAGCTTCAAAGGCTTCTACTTCCGCCGGTACTATGGCTTTGCCACTTGTCTTCTTAATGAAGCGAATTTTTCTTATTACAGATCTTGCCCTTGTTGGAAGACTCAAATACGAGCGTGAGAGAGGCAGCTATGATGTGTGTAGAGGTATGTTTGAAAGTTTTGGAACTCTGTGATTTATATAATTGCCTACAGGAAATGTATCGGCAAGGTGGTATACAGTTCAAAGAGGAGCTGCAACGCCATTCTCTACGAGCCAGTCAGGTTAGTGATTGTATATGAAGTGAAGTGGAGTTCTTATAATTTGTTGTTTTTTTTTTTTTTTTCCGCAGCTCAAGGATATTTTGTCTAGATTTGACAAAATAGTTATCAAGACGCAAAATCTTTCGTTGGCGCCGGAGCCCAAACACTCCTCAACTGGAAATCGCCGAAATAGTCCGAAAGCAAAGTCTTCCCTTGAGATTCCCAGTACTGGTAAGGTATTCTTGCTGTTGTCCTGCTGCGAAGACAAAATTTGCCTTCATGCAGTTGAAGCTGAAGCGAGTGATAAACCGGTGGAACCTATTCGAGTTTCTTCTGACAGAGATTTGGCAAAAGAAATAGAAAAGGTAGCCAGCATGCTTACTCCAGAGCGAGACTGGTCTGTCCGCATAGCGGCCATGCAACGGGTGGAGGGACTTGTTGCTGGAGGTTTGTATTTGTGTACTGAAAGCTTGTATTTTTTTTTTCTAATGTTTTAGTTCAGGTGCTGTGGAGCATATGTGTTTTCCATCTCTCCTCAAACAGCTCGTTGGGCCTCTTTCTCTCCAGTTATCTGACAGGCGGTCTAGCATAGTTAAACAGGTATCACAAGCGTGAGCCTGAAACACGTTTGATTTCTAATCTCGAGCGAACTGCAGGCATGTCATCTGATGAATCTCTTGTCCAAGAATTTGCTGTCCGACTTCGAAGCTATAGCGGAGGCCATTATACCGGTATTTTGTCTGCTATTGAGATATAGAGATTACAACCCGGTTCTTTTCTTTTTACAGGTTTTATTTAAGCTGGTTGTTATAACAGTATTGGTGATAGCTGAATCCGCTGACAATTGCATCAAAACGGTTTGCTTGCAAAATGGGCTATCAATTCGATAATGTTTCTCGGATATTGCAGATGCTTCGGAATTGTAGAGTGGCTCGTGTACTTCCTCGTATTGTTGACTCTGCAAAAAATGATCGGAATGCCACTCTAAGAATGAGGTATATGGTCGTAAAACATACTTCTTTTGGGTCTGAAACACTTCTTTTCAAGGTGTTGTGAATATGCGTTGGTAGTGTTAGAACGATGGGCGGATTCTCCTGAAATACACCGGGCAGCTGACTTGTTTGAGGATTTGATAAGATATTGCGTTGGGGATGCCATGAGCGAGGTTCGTGTAATAAGTTCTTCGCAAGAAGTTTAAACCTGTATAATTGTTCTGTACAGGTTAGATCCATGGCAAGGTCTTGCTATCGGCGCTTTGCAAAAACATGGCCTGACCGTTCTCGTCGACTGTTTTCAACATTTGATCCTGTCATCCAGAAAGTATACCTGAATTTCTTGCACTCTTTTCTATATTATCTTCTATTTTGCAGCTGCTTAACGAAGAGGATGGCAGCGTCCCGAAACGGTATACTTCTCCTACTCGCGAAAGAGGCCATCATCTGAGAAATTCGGCTTCCGTAACTGTAAATACAGTCGTGCCGCCGCCAACAACGCAGCTGGATAGGAGCGTCAACTCTTCGACGTCGGGAAATTTTCTCAATCATAGAAGATCCGCGGAACAACTTGCCGAACGTAATTTAGAGAATGTTCTCCAAGCTAGTCAACAACAAGTAAATGCCATCGAGACGATGCTTAAAGGTATGGACGTTCCTGATAAGGCGGTGGTTTCAACTACGGCTCGATTAATTGGAAAGGATCCAGGTAGTTTTCTGTTCCTGAGTGATGTTATCCTAATGATATTTTGATTTGCAGTCGGTGGAAGTTACCGAAAAATTCACGCTCCTGGACGTGTTAATGTGGATCCTCCGTCTGCCCGGGATCCACCCCATCCCGCATCTGCGCCAGCAGCAAATATCGTTAGTAATCGGGCACCGTCCTTGCCATCCAATTTCCGTGGGGGTCTGAGTTGTCCTTCCGAAGCTTTGCAGCAGTCCTTTACGGATCATGGAAGATCAGCGAGGGAAACCAGTGGAAACGTTGCAAAGAGAGTGCCGATGACCACTGAAAGATCGAGTCAAACTTTGTCCGGCGAGCCTATTGACGTGAAGGGGCCGAAGCGCATTCTAAGGACTGAACCTGTGCAAGAAGGCATACCGGGTTTCCAGCGACCTCTCATGCGCAGCTTGATATCTGGGAAGTCTTCGGTGAGCAGTAGAAGCAGTGTCGAAGAGGCTCAAGCGTCATACTCAGAACCTTTCACCTGCTTGGACGGGCTTATGTCACTGAACGACGCGTTAACGGAGGGCCTTAGCATGAACGCGGACTGGTCAGCTAGAGTTGCAGGCTTTACATATCTTCGGAAGCTTCTACAGCAAGGACCAAAGGGGCTACATGACGTGAATCAGAACTTTGAGAAGGTTATGAAACTGTTTTACGAGCATCTCGACGATCCGCACCACAAAGTTGCACAGGCAGCCTTGTCAACACTGGCCGAAGTCGTACCTCCTTGCAGAAAGCCTTTTGAGGCTTACTTGGAGAGAATCCTTCCTCGAGTTTTCGCGAGACTTATAGACGGTAAAGAAGCTATCCGCCAGCTTGGTACGTCAGCTTTGGAGATCATCGGCAACATATATTCGATCGACTCGCTACTTCCGGCCTTGTTAAGGTCACTGGACGAGCAGCGTTCTCCCAAGGCAAAGATGGCTGTCGTTGAGTTTGCGATTGCCGCTTTTGCAAAGCTGGCTCTCAACGGTGAGGCTCCTGGAGGCAGTGGTATGCTCAAACTCTGGCTTGGAAAACTAGCTCCTCTTGCGAACGATAAGAACCCCAAGCTAAAAGAGACGGCTGTTACTGGCATTATCTCCGTTTATTCACACTTCGACTCCGCGACGGTCTTAAATTTCATCTTGGGACTGTCGGTTGAAGACCAAAGTATTTTACGACGAGCCTTGAAGCAGTACACTCCGAGAATCGAAGTCGATCTTATGACATACCTGCAAAACAGAAGCCAAAGAGCAAGGTTCAAGACGGCAACCGACCATGACGAGCTTCCAACGCCTTCGGAAGATAACTCTGCCGGAATGCAAGTGAAAAACTCAAAGGTTCAGCCAGTGAACAACGAAGGTAATGGTTTGAAGCGGAATTCCATGCACTCGGACAGGCTGGGTGACTTCGAGCCAGGCAAGCTTTTCCACTCGGACTACGACATGTATGTCAGTACTGAAGATCCAATAGGTCATGCTCGGGAGGTGCACCATGTGGACACAACGAGTCCGGACAAGTCTGTTCGAAACAGCGACGCAAGGAGCATTCCGCTTAATCCGATGGGATTTGTGGACTCTCGGATGGTTCCTTCTTCGACAGTTGATCAGGATGTCTACAAAACTCATACCACCGGGTATGAGTATTTGTACGAAGAATTGCACCGTAAGCCGCACAGGGGGACACATCTAGATACTGGCCCAGGCAGACTGCTGCAAAAGGTAAAGTAAACATTACACAGTGACGTGACTGATTTCTCTCCTGCATTGACAGCTCTTAAACTGGATGGAAGTACCCGTTTATGAAAAACGCGAAGCCTTTCAGGAGCTTTTGCAGTTGCTGCGCTCAAACGACTTTACTCTTTGGTCGCAGGTTTTATACACCTCTGTTTTTCAGCTTCGGTGCTAAACTTCTTGTCCTTGTGTGCAGTATCCGAACCAGATATTGTCAATGATACTGGAGGCTTTCGATGACCCCGACTCACAATTGAGGGAGATATCGCTAACAGCGATATCCGAGATTGTCACTATTCAGGTGCGGCAGATCCTGTCTATGCTTCGTACGTGACATCTTGTTTACCTGATTTGTTTTCCAGAAAGCGCTGATAGAGAACAGCACCGAAATCATCCTAGAGAAACTTATACATGCCACGAAAGATCTGTCAGTAAAGGTAAGGTCGTGGCCATGTTCATGCCAGCGCCAGCTTGACTGTAAAACTTACAGGTTTCTACCATCGCTGACCGTTCTTTGAGCGCCGTGCTATCCCAATGTAATCCTCAACGGTGTCTTGGTGTAAGTGTTCTCATCCATTGTTTCAAAACTCTTGAAAGACTTTCTAGCAGGTTGTGATGCCTCTTTTGGTTAGTGACGATGATAAGACTCTTGTCACTTGCATTAGCTGCCTGACAAAGGTAAAGCCGGAATATGTATATACGATTAACAGACACTGTCCATGCAGCTTGTCACTCGACTTCCTCAAGAGGAGCTCATGGCACAACTCCCGTCTTTCTTGCCAGCATTGTTTGATGCTTTTGGCAATCAAAACGCCGATGTTCGAAAGGTGATTTCATTTATTTTGTGTCATTCGTTTCTAACAAGAGTGTGGAAACTTGCAGACCGTCGTCTTCTGCTTAGTTGATATTTACATCGTACTTGGGAAAGCCTTTGTTCCGTACCTCGGAAGCCTCAGTAGCACCCAGCTACGACTTGTAACAATTTACGCGAACCGCATATCACAGGTGAGATTTCACTTTGTGCATTGCTTCTCGAGCTTTTCGTGTTCTTGCTCGTGCATTCCAGGCCAGAACTGGCGCAACTTTGGACACACAATAACGACTGGCAAACCCAGTCAATCTGTCATCATGTACAGTAACGTGTAACAACACTGACCAAGCCTTCAATTTTTGCAATGAACGTACGTCTTCACGCTTGTTTTTGGAAGTTCCTCTTGCAGATCTATTCTAAACCATTGCTCAAAGAGAATAAGCTACAAAACTATTCTTCAAGCTGATACGAATTCTTGATCACAATGGTGCCGGTCTGATTGATGATATACCAGAACAGTAAGTAACTCTTGATTTACTTTTAGAGCTCACCTTTGCATCTCCGACTCGCTCTTGCTCATGTCAATGACGAACCGATACTTGACATCCGACTTTGCCAGCCGCTCCATGGCCTCGTTGACGCTGCCCATCGTGATCTGCTCAACGATGGCCGTCACGTTGTGCTCCCCGCAGAAATCCATCATCTCCTGCGTCTCTTTGATGCCCCCGATCAGGCTCCCAGCGATCATCCGACGTCCTGGGACATAAACCACACAAGATGAGGCACAAGAGGATTGAAACTCATGTGTTACCAGCAAGGAGAGTTATGGGTGCTATCTGCAAAGGAGCGTCCGCTGCTCCAACCAAGACCATCTTGCCATTTACTTTGAGAAGCGCCAGCAGGGGCTCCAACGCGTGCTTCGCCGAGACGGTGTCAATGATATAGTCGATCGACATCGCAGCAGCCTGTGCACATATATAGAAGGAAATCTTGCAAGAAACTAAGGTGATTCTTACCGCCATTTGTTCTTTGTCCGTGCTAACCAGGAAATCGTCCACTCCAAGCAGCTCCCTGGCTTCCTTCTCCTTCTTTGGCGACGTGCTAATCACCGTGACTTTCATGCCAAAGGCCTTGCCGAACTTGACAGCCATATGCCCCAGGCCTCCCAGTCCCACCACTCCAAAGCTCCGCCCAGCCTCCGCCATCCCAAAGTGTTTCATGGGGCTATACACCGTGATCCCGGCACACAGCAGTGGAGCTGCGGTGTCCAGCGGCAACTTTGCCGGGACATTGATCACAAAGCTGGGAAGTTCCATCAAGGAAAAGGTTGGCATACTGTTCATAGATGGAAGAAAAGCCAAACACTAACCTCTCGTCCACGACGATGGCGGTCGAGAAGCCTCCCATGGTGTGGCTTCCACCCGGTAAGTGAGAATTGTAAGTCCACACAAGCTTTGGGCAGTAGTTCTCCAGGCCTTCGTTGCAAGAGTGGCAGTCATGGCAAGAGCTAACGAGGCAGCCCACGGCCACATGGTCCCCGAGTGTAAAGCGGCTCACCGAGGAGCCCAGCTGTTCCACCACGCCAGTAATCTCGTGCCTGGAATAATAGAATCGCAAGAAGATATAGCAGCTTACCCAGGAACAACGGGAAAAATCGTTATCCCCCATCCGTTCTTGATCTGGTGTAAGTCCGAGTGGCAGATTCCGCAGTAGAGGATCTTAATCACCACGTCCGTGGCACTGGGATTCCTGCGGAAATCTCGCAATTCATCGAATCGAGGGAGGGAAAGCTCCAAGGATTACCTCCGGGTGAGCTTGAAAGGGGCAAGAACACCCGCCGCATCCCTTGCCGCCATCGCCATCGCCTCAAATCCAGCGCTCTCGCCCATATCTTCCCGATCGATCGAAGCGAGCACTCTCTTCACGAGTGGCAGGGACGTAAAAGAACGTCCGGGGGAACTAAAACAGCTATCGACCGCTATTTTTTGAAGGAATCTAATTGTGATAAAGCATATTCTTGATATGATAGCAAGCGAACGAGGCTTTGGTTTGGGCGAACTTAAAAATCTGGTTTGTAAATTCTGCTTGATTTTTTGTTTGTTTAAGCAAAACTTAAGGGATTGATATACCTAAAATATATTTGGATTTTCTAGGATATTTTACCCTTATTCAGTTAAATTAATCTATAATTTATAAACATGTTTATAATTTATAAGCTTTCCTAAACACTTCATAGTATATTCTTTTTTATTCTACTATCTAATGGTTAATATGCAATAAGATTAATCTTGATTTAAAAATTATAAACATTTTTATAATTATTGATCAAATGGATTATTCAATGACACTACAATTAAGCAAACCAAATGTTGTTGCATGCAAACACGCAGCAATATATTTAAATTGTGGTTTCAAGACTTTTTACTTAAAATGTAGTTATGTTAATTCAGATAATATAAATATTTCTGAAGAATTAAAATTTTGCATGCAGCATGTGCTTAATAAAAGTGTTATTCCTGTTTATTAATAAAATTAATCAAATGGAAGTTTATAATCATAAATAAACAGAAAACTAATCTTATTGCATATTGGTAGAATAAATTAGAATATACTAAGAAGTGTTTAGGAAAATTGACAACTCATAACATGTTTATAAGTTATAAATACAATATTAATATAAATGAATAACAATTATTCAATGGTACAACAAGAGACGCATTTTTTGTTAGAAAAGCGAAACACTAAGCTCCAGCCACAGGAGTACTGCACTGAGAAGCCAAAGCCAACCCTGATGGCATCTGCAGCTGAATGGTGGAAACAGAATCAGCGTACATAGAGAATAGTACGTGAATGTATTTCAAAACGAAATTGTACGCCATCATTGCCACGTCAGTGTACCCGCCATTTCGAGTTCATGGAGCCTCCGGCGCTCAAGCATGGCGACGATGTGCTTGTTTCTTATGGGGGGCTCTACTACAATGCCAAGGTGATTTCAAAGGTTTCGAAGCTAGGGTTTTAGCGATCTTAGCGATCCCATGGCAAATGTAGGTCACCAACATCAAGTTTCGAGCGAATGCTTGGCGGTATTTAGTGCACTACACGGTTTGTTTGAGACTACCAAGAAATGTGCCAGTGGATTTTATTGTCCTGATTTTATTGTCCTGTATTTTTGCAGGGATGGAGCAAAAAGTAGTGTAACCCTTGATATTAATCTAGGCAATGGCCTCGATTCTTGGTTTTGCAGATTTGACGAGTGGGTTCGCAGCAATCGCATTTTCGACGAGAAGGCCAGGGGCCAGCTTAAGATCGCCCCAAAGGTAAAGCAGGAGCTTGGTTTCAGCGATGGATTGAACCGGCAGGAGGCAAATCCTTCGGACTCGCTGTCCAAAGTCTCCAAAGTCGAGCAGTCCAAGCGTTGCAAGCGTCCTCCTTCTGTGGGAGCCACTGCTGGGAGGGGAAAGATGATAAAAACTCCTAAACAGGAGTTTATAATCGAGAGCCCTAGCGATTTGGGAAAACAGGACGCGAAGCTTCTTCCAATTCAGGTACCGTAGTTTCTTTCAATGCTACTTTACTATTGCTTTGTCTCTTTTCGTTTCTGATGCTAGATTGTTCTGCCGAGAACTTTGCGGCGACATCTGCAGGATCACAAGGATCGCATCGAGAACCTCCAACTCACAAGACTTCCCAAGAAACCCAGCGTGGAGGACATTCTGAAATTGTATCAAGACCACAGGATGCTCAAGAGAGGAAAAATTGAGAGGTGTATATATAATGCCGTCAAGTTTCATTGTGCAAACTTTTACCTTCCAGGATTGACGTCGAGGTTTCGAACGGCCTGCGGTATTACTTCGACAGAACTCTCAAGAACTTGCTCTTGTACCCGGCAGAACGGAAGCAATACGCAACCTTGCTTTCGCTCAACAGTGACGTTGTATCATCCACGATCTATGGAGCCGAGCATTTGCTTCGTCTCTTCCGTAAGTGATGAGCTTTCCACCTTTAAGCCCTCTTAACAAATCACCTAGATAACAGCCAAACTCCCGGAGCTTCTCGTGTATGATCAGCTCAAGGAGAAAGAGGTGTCCGAGCTCGAAGACAAAGTGATGGAGATAATGCTGTAAGTGGACCATTGCAATCTTCTTCTGTTTCGTTTTGTTTGCTTGACTCAAGAAGCCATGGCAGATTCATTGAGCGAAACGAGTCGCAGTTCCTGTGTGCTTAATCGAACCATAGACGTATCAGGTGGTGATTAAGTTCGCTTTCATCGTTTCATGATGTGGTAGCTTGTGTTTTTTGTAATTTTATGGTTATAGCGCTCTCGCACGAGCGATGAGCTACTGAAAACGTAGATAGCTTTTCACTGATGCCATTAACAATTCTCAGTGAGTTGACGGACTTTTGGCTCGAGAACAAAGCTGCTAGCGATCGAAAATCATTGCACGAGAGGAGTGTGGCTCCCTCTCCTGCTACTCTACTTTGTCGATATTTCTATAGTAGATTGGAGCAGACAGTGTGGACCACACCTCGACCATTAGTGAAAAAAGGGAAAGTTTCTTCCTTCTTTATCTTCCCCAAGGACAAGCAGACCTCTGTACATGTCAACGTTCACTTCTTTTCTATCAGCAAGCAAGCGAGCAAAACAAAAGAATCGAGCCAGGGGTCGAACACTGCAGCATCTCTTTTTTCTCCTTTCCTCGTTGCTTGCTCTTTTGGCGGCCTCTCAAGAAGACAAGAAAAAGAGAGACAAGCACAGTTGGATTCGATCCGATTCCTGTACCTCCCCTTGGCTCCTTACAAGTTAACATAATCTCATAATTCCAAAAGGGTTTGTAAAAGTAAAATATAAATAATTAAAAATATTTATAAATCAAAGTTAAACAAAAAAACTGTGGTTGGGGAGAGTGTGGCTCTTTCATAATCTTTCATATGCTTGTATATGTCAAGCACGAAAGGAGTGTGGCTCCCTCTCTTGCTACTCTACTTTGTCGATATTTCTATAGTAGATTGGAACACAGGCAGACAGTGTGGACCACACCTCGACCATTAGTGAAAAAAGAGAAAGTTTCTTCCTTCTTGAGAGGCCACCAAAAGAGCAAGCAACGAGGAAAGGAGAAAAAAGAGATGATGCAGTGTTCAACCCCTGGCTCAATTCTTTCGTTTTGCTCGCTTGCTTGCTGATAGAAAAGAAGTGAACAATGACATATACAAGCATATGAAAATCTTAAAAATTAAAATAGAAGAAACGAAATACATATTTAGAATATAGAAAAATGCAAACATGAGAAAATATTGAAAATGAAGAAAAATATCAAGATGAAAATGAATATCTTATAATAAAATATATACCAAATTTGATACACAAAGTAAAACAAATGCAAACATTCTCAACAATAAAAAGATAATCAATGCACAATAGTGACATAAATGATAAACTATTATTTTTAAAATGTATATCATAAACACTAGGTAGTGGACAAATATTGAAAGTAACTAAAGATCTAAGAGAGAAGAAATTATTTCTAACAACATATACAAGAATGGGGAAAACAAGATTAATTAAAAAAAATAACAACCATTGAAAAGATTACATAATTCCTAAATAAAATCCATTGGTGATGAAGAAATACAAATAGCTATAGATGCAACACTAACTGTAAAAGAAAAAATAAATAATAAAGCTATAGCATTGAAATAATATGAAAAAATAATTACAAATATCAATTACTAGTTATAAAGTAGAAATTTTAGAAATTAAGAGATTAAAAGAAGTACACAGTATATATAAAATTTTAAATAGAATTTATAAAATTAAGAACACTTTAAATTATAAAATATTTGAAAATATAATATCAAATATTATGAATTACATAGATAACAAGACAATATAGACATAAACAGTTTATAAAAAATAAAAATAATGAATCCTACTAAAAAAAATAAAGATACAAAAAAATTAAAACTTTGAAGTCCAACTATTAAAAATAACATAATAATATCCATATACTATATACAAATAATCAAGTACAACATTAAGACTCCATCTTGAATGAAAAGTTAATTTAATAGCAAAAATAGCATTCATTAAAATATTAATGACAAAATTTCAAAGGATTAAAAATTTAGTATTAAACTATTTATGAAATAATATAAATTACAAACTATAAAGTTTATAAATACATATATATACATGTGATAATACACTAATTATAGTACTAAAGCATATTAACCATCCATATGAGATTTGAATATGATCCATCCATCCAAAGCATTCATATTAGTGGAGATAAAGGGCAATGCAATTTGTACCTAAAGGGCAAAGTTTTTTAGCAGTGCTTTACTTTAGTATTCAAGATTATGTTTTTCCCTTTTATTTTTTCATTCTCTTTTAGAGTTAGATTTGTATTAGCTTTTTGCAAGATCTAGAATTCTAGCTATTGCTATTTTTAAATTTGCTCTTTCTTCTAATCTTTATTACATTCTCTTCTTTTACCATGTCATGTTGTCATCGATTAAGGAATATATTATTTGAGATTGCTTTTGCTATTTTTTTGGATTGAACTTTTGATATTATGGGGTGTGATTATATTGGTGCTACACTAGTCCTTGATGTATTGCCATCTCCAACTTTTGTGGGACATAATTATACAGCTTGTCTTGTTTTCAATGTTCTGACATCTCTAGTTGATATGGAGTGTGATCATGACATTGATTGGCAATCTATGGATAATACAGTTTAGTTCTTGGAGAATGTTTGAGGATTAAGTTCATAAAAAGATGATATGTACAAACTCTAGTGGATTCTAGATTATGATGACAAATTTAATTATTATGGAGATAATTTTGGAAATGAAGTGAAGATTTTGTGGGGTAGGTATCAATCCCAGCTTGAGCCACTTTTTCATGTTTTTAGTGTTCCTTCCTCCTCTGCAATATTTCATTTTCCTGGCATATTGATCATTTGTAACTCTTATAATTTTCATTC